CGAGAAGGCAGTGAACCTGTTGGAGTCCAGAAGACTCCCAACTGACTCTGCGCACAATGTAACCAGACGGACGATTATACGTAAACAAAAACAGAGCATGTGTGCTGGCAAGGAAGTCGGGTGGGCCAGTCTAGCTCAAGAATTGGAAGAGGCGGAAGCGGGCAGACCCTTCCAAATACTCCGCGCCACTGGTCCGAGGAAACCAAGCATCAATGAGACAATCAGAAACACCGCAGATGCAGTGACGCATAATAAGGCGCACCGTATAGCTCGTTGAGTGGAACACTTTTGAGAACAGTTCGGTTGGCGACGAGCTCCCGAACTCCTCCCCCCTCAGGTTGTGCATACTGTGCCGTCACCGATTAGTTTAGAGGCTCCATCGGATGCTGAGGTCCGAAATGCTGTTGAGTTAGACCTTCTAGCATCGACACTATTTAACGTTGGAGATGAACTCCTGTGCAAAATACTGACCAAGTTGTTCTAGCAGGTCTGGAGGAAACAGACCATCCTAGCTAACTGGAGCGAATCGATTATAGTGGCAATATACAAGAAGGGCAATCGCACTGACTGGGCCAACTACAGAAGTATTAGCCTAACGCCAGTGGTGACAAAATTACTGGCCGTAATACTCATTCGTCGCCTCACTACGGAATGCGAATCTCGGATCAGTGAAGCGCAGGCAGGTTTCCGCCAAGAACGAGGCAGTACAGACCACATATTCACTGTGCGGCAGTTGCTAGAGCAACTCCACTCGTGTCACAGGCTGACAATAGCTGTGTTTCTCGCCTTCATGAGTGCGTTCGATTCAGTCGATCAATGTATTCTGTTGGAAACACTTGTACGGAAGTGTGATCGGACGAAATATGTGAACATTTTATGTGCCCTGTACTCGAACACCACAGGCCGCGTCAGGGTCTACGGTGACTTGTCGGATATCGTTCGGACAACAAGCGGCGTTCGTCAGGGTTGCCCACATTCTTTACTTCTGTTCAGTTTCTTTGTGAACTCCATCATGGAGTGTTCCCATGCGGAATCTCACGATACAGGCGTTGAGATGCTAGTTGGTGAAAAGTCATTTTGCCTTGATTATATAGACGAGATTGTCTTGCTGTTTCATGATGCCGGGGTGGCCTAATCAAGCCTTACATCTCCCTAAAGTGGTCCCATCATTTGGCGCGCGCTTTACAGCTTCAAAAAGTGCGGCATGTGGTTACAGGACCACCAGCCACCTGACGATCCCTTGATCCTTGATAAGGAGAAACTCGAGGTAGTTGACCAATTCACTTATCTTGGTAGCTGCATCCGCAAAGATGGGCGCATAGCAACTGAAATCAGTTCACGTATTAGAAAAGTGGGGATTACTTTCTTGAATCTGCGATATATGCTTGTCAGAAAGAGGTTCTTCTGGGTCTTAAACTCAACATTCACAAGGTCACATTGAGGGTCGTCCTACTCCATGGGAGTGAGACTTGGCCTCTTCGGCCTGAGGCGCCTTCAAGTCTTTGATCATCGCTGCCTGCTGATCGTTTCTGGTGTCGGATGGCCCAGCGTGTTCGCAACGATGATGTACGTGGGCGAGTGCTAGGCAGTAATTATCAGGCTAGTTCTTTAGAAAAGCAAATGGACTGAATAGCTGTGTTGCTTTGGGCACGTACTACGTATGCCCGGTCACGGCTTACCGAGGAGGACTTTGTTCTATTTGCCAGTTGTAGGATGGCCAAGGCTGAGGGTGGGCAAAAATTAATTTGGCAGATAGTAATGAACTCACTGATCATAAGTCTTGGTGCTATTGTTCCGTCCAGGCTAGAGTCCGCTTTACTCGTCTTGTGATTGGCTGGAGACATTACAGGACGTGGATTGGAATCGGCACCAGTGGCGTGTCTGCTATCCCCCTTGTCGAACTGCCAGTTTATAGTTTGTTTGGCGCAGAGCTATGTGCGGGGTAATGGCTGATTATGATGAGGAGCAATGAAAATCGCAAGAAAGCTGTCGCCGATGCCACCTTGTCTTTGCCCGATAGCCAGATGTTTGTGACTGGGGGCTGTTGACAATGTCTGCCTAGGGCACCTAGGTTTTATGCTACGTCGCCCTTCTCTCTCTTTATACTTCTTTCCGTAGGTCATTATGCTTCGAAACTATTTGGAAAATCAGTAGCTCAGGAGGCTTGTTCAGATGTTGTGGTGTTCGCCGAGCTGGGCAAGTTGATTGCAAAGGTTTCACCACCATTTGAGGTGACATCTTCAGTGCAGGATTGATAGCAGTCAAGTACCAACAGCTGGTAGAAGGCAAACCCAATGATGGTTGTACGGCAGCGAAATATGAGTTCAGAGAGCTGATTTATTGCAGTCGATGATGATGTTCTTGGTCAGTTCGATCAAGGGGGCTGTAACACTTAATACCTACACGCTTCAGTGATAAGCGTTGCCCACCGTAACTCAGTGGCTTAGGGGTCGATGTTCCGACTGACAGGTGCCAGATTCGCGTGTCTTCTTTCTGCATCTGATAAATTTAAGCAAGTTCAAAATCTGTCGTGGAGTGCAGAGGTTTCAGGTGGACAACACCCAGTCTCCAAATTCGAATGTGTTCGTGGAGTAGAGTGTTGCGAGGGGGGAAAAGTTTAAAAGTGAGCCCATAACGACAGTACGTATCTGCTTCGCCTATTCCCCCAGTGACTGAACTGGTCGTGATTCGCTTTGACCTTAATCGCAGTTCAGTCCTACTTACACATACGCACACAACACAAGGGGTGTTTAAAATAAAGAGAAAATGTATTTACACGTCCTCCTGTTTCCATAAACCACAGGCTATACAGTAATATTCCTGTCACACAGAGTGAGGCTGGTTGCCGATGTGTATCAGTGCCCTATGGCCACTAATTGGCCTGAACCATTCATTACAATTTAGCAAACGCCTGACAGTCGATCCAAGGGCGTCCGCAGGCGGATACGAGAGGCCGCTGATGCCAATGCAATTAAGCTGGACGGAGTGAATTATGCACTCAGAAATGATACACTAACGTATCGGGATTGCCTTGCCTCAAACGGCTTGTGACCTCTGACCCAGGACATCTCACACAAGCTGCAGGCGTGACCTAAGTGGTATTCACCATCAGTAGTCAATAAATGCCAAGCGTATTGACACTATACTGTGTACACACATTCCGCCCCACATCCGAATGTCAAGTCTGATGAGGAATTATCGAAAACAAACTCTCTCTCACTGCATTCTATTCCACTTTTGTATGTGGAATATAGCCAAAGGTGTGTGTACCGCTGCTTAACAGAATAATGGATAGAGGGAATGTAGAACCGAAGGACGTCTTGAGCTGCCACCGTACAAGGTTATGGGAGGTAGGCCAAACAAGTACTCCAACTGGTGGCCCATAGCTAACTCAAAACCGACACATGTGAGGCCATAAATCAATTCCCTCCTTCACCGGGAGCTGAATTGGTGTATTTGTGGCAAACTATGATTACCGTGAATGTATTGTAGAACATATCAAATCTCGGGTATTTTTTGGAGCGCATGGTAACCAGACTTGTGTACAACCTGCGAATTGCGCGCCTTCGTATCAAGCATGAGTAGGGCTTTCGGCAAGCTGGAACATCGCGCTTACAGACATCATCATCTAACAATTTGGGGCAAACTGATAGTGTGCAAATCAAAATCTGGCAACCCAAGCTACAAACATTTCAGTAGTGCACCGGAATCTTACCGACGTTTCGCCACCAAGAGACCGAAAACGTTTGCGTGCGTGTTTGGAGACTCCGAGGTCAGTCGCACCACACATGTATGAACCCGTGACTCGTGGACTGCCAGCCAGCCAAGCAAGTGAACTATTCTATTACCGATTGGACGCAGACCCACTCTGAGGCTAGGATTAATTTCAGTTAGAAATCGTACTTGACAGCATATCCGGTGAAACCTGAAGCGATGGTTGTCGACTTGTGATGAGCGTTTCACATATTCACCAGCGCACCTCAGCTGTTAAAAGTGGAGGAAACTTCCGGTTTGGAGTCAAAGGTGCTCGGAACGCTTGAGGCAGGAAGCTCGGTTGTACCATATGGTACCCATCGAAGCAATTAGGCGTCACAAAAAACAAAGAAGTTGTGACACACAGGCGCATGCTCCGAGGCAAGGCATGTACTGCCGTTTGACTTACGGTCCCTTGCGTGACCTTGTCAACAGTAACCTGGCGGAATTGTCAATCTATGTACACGTTTGACCATCAGATGGCATGTAGTAACAGGATTGCTGATAGCTAGTGCCAAGAAGTGGGGCGTGATTGGCACGAAGTTGAGGGAACCGATCACCACCGTCGGCCGCGCAGATTTCTGAATTTGCTGACAACTGAGACCGCAGCCCTCCACTGCAAGTCGTTACTCCGCGCGTTTAGGCGTCCATAAGTTAATATGAAGGATGCTCGGCACTTTGTACCAGGGGAGTCGGTGAGTTGACAATATGACTCATTTTCAATGTAGTCCGTATCACAGCCTGTGGAAATGCATTGCGGTGCAACGCATAAGTCTGAGCTACTAATCACTTAGCCGGACGCTGGACCGAATGTTCTAGCCGATCAAGATCCGATCTAGTTGCGCAAAGCAACCCAACACAAGCAGCTCCGGCAGTGGCGTCGCAGGATAATCGCAATGTAAGAGTACAGTAGAAAATTTCGAATGGCAAACCCACTCACAGTGTCTTGCTGGAGTCACGAGACAACATATATCAGTGGTGAAGTTTTCTACAGTGCGAGCAAGGGCTACCTGTAGTCCAATCTGCATAAGCCTCTGGACACTGAGGATAGCAAACTTGGGTTAGGAACAGGGTACTGCAAATCTCTTGCCAGCACGACTAGTCCGTGCACCTTGGAATCCGAACTACTCAGCGATGTGCCAAAAGCATGCCTTCACCGTGCGTCTGTCTTGTAACCTCCGGAAAGGAAAGGAGGTATTGAGGATGGCAGCTGTACACCTATGAAAAAATCGAAGGGCTAATGGAGTGTGATTCATCAGGACGAATACGCGCACCTCGGATGAGGTGAGTGGTTACATGGAGCAAAGATGGAGTGAGGTACGGCGTTCGGTCAATTGGTCACAGACTGTGAATAAAAAGTATTCTACGTTGTATAAAGTACAATAACTTCAGGTTAAGTTTAATGCGCGATTTTGTTAATCATTCTGTGTGTAGCCAACATGCGCCAACCAGCGTTCTTTTTATTCCCGATGCTAATTTTAGGAATGCCGAGGAGGGCATATATTGCTCCACCTCCAAAGACGTCAAATGTGAAAAGTATTTTGAAGGGTGCAGAAACATCTGTCGATACAATCGAAATTGATGGTGTGGTTACTATTAAACGCTCCATGCTACGGCCATGTGTCCCGGGTTATCTGCAGTTGGGTGGTGAAAGTAATGAGGATGATAAGTAAAAGCTTTTTCCTCATTTTGACTGCACTGACTCGGTTTCCTAGGGCAAATTCTAGTACACGGGAGTGCAGAGCTGTGAAGGAGATCCGCGGCGTCCGTGGTCGATTGGCAGCCACAGTCTCTATCCCGAAGGTCTACGCTGGATGCAAGCGTCAAAGTACAGCCTGTGTGCCAGTAGAAAACTCCCGTCGTAGTCGTGCTGGTTCCACTCCCTCTCGTGGGTCAAGCAAGAGTACCACAGTTCACGCAACTTCCGCGCGATTACCCAAAACTACTCCCGGCCGCACGCCTACTCCCTCCAGTAACAAGGCCCAAAGCACAAAAGAATTGAGGTCACAGGCACGCGAAACAGAACCCGGACCAACGACTTCACAGCCTCGTGATTCCGGTATTACGGAAGAGTAAGTTTCAAGTGTTGACAAAATAATTAACATGGTTGTTAGCTGTGATGCAACCCATTTCTGCTACCTTCACGGTCATAAGTTAGCGCATGGAAAGCTGTGAGATGAAAAGTATGCTGTTAACATTGCACGGAATTGCATGCCTCAAACGATACATTGTCCTAGTGCAGACATGTGTTGTAGTACGAATCAACAATCTCACAACTATAATATCATAGAGCACCTAACGGTTAATATGGAGAAAATTGTCTTACACGACACTCACAATCTTCGTCTTAGTTATTCCCGCTTGCTTGTATTTGTTGGGATTCTGGCAGGGCAAGAATAAAATTAATACGAGGCTACCAGTTGCCTTTTCTCTAACAATGTGAGCAAGATGCTCATGAGTACGGTTGACTTCATTATATGTTTCTAGCAACGCAGTGCGGTGGCCAACGTTGTCAAGACCAATGCCTCCACGACAGCAACAAAGAAGCAATTGGCGAGACACCGACCAACGTATAGACGCAATTCCGTCGGGCAAGCAGTTGTGAAGATAAATATGAGCTAGTCAGATAGTAGACTGAGGAACAAGCAGCAAGACATCATATTCAAGAACGCCGCTGATCTATTGCTTGTGCCACCGGCATATTTTCCTCAACCGCGGATGTGGCATGTTCCGAAGCATCCTATGCAGGGAGATGGCATGGACAAGCAGGACCAAATTTATCGCCCAACTCTTTCACAGCCGTTACTCTCTGAATTGCCCTTCACTGCATCTATGCCAAAGGGTTAGGAATAAAGCCACATAAAGTTGAACCAGGTTGGTACTTGCCATCTTCCTGGTTGGGGTTCTCTGGAGTGATTGGATACCCTACCGACTATGGTGCAGTCATGAAGTGAACGGCACTGTTGCAATTGTTTTCTTGGTTCTGAACTTTGGCTAATCTATCTGATGATATTCAACCTCGGTTGTTCTTCTCCAGTTATTATTCTCATCATGCTTTCTGTTCTTTTGTTATTGCTTCTACAGTTACTAGATCCACCGCACCGCGGTATACGGCTCATCGACAACTAGCTAATTGAACTGACTTCTGGGTTTCACTCTAGGTCCCTCCTTTGTGCCTACAAAGCATACGAATGCGTAAGCGGCAACTGTTGACCCCATCACATCCCGCCCCATAACCACCGAGCACTTCATCGCTTGGGATGTTATTCTATCGATCCACATGATCTATGCACCACAATCCTTCTTTGGATTCTTTATTTTAGCAAAGAAGACGCAGGACCCACCCTCAAACGGCCACCGACGCAGAAGGTTGTTTTAAAGAATTTTGACCAGCAAGTTGCCGGCCCTTCATTTATCCAACCGGAGACTATAAATATTGTCAACGCCATTAAACAATTCAGATCTCGCGCTGATGGAGAATTCAATAGATTAAAGTTTATGTGCGTTGATTGGAACGGAGTTTTGACCGAAGAATCAGATACACTTCCACAGTCAGGTAGGTTTTGACCATCTGTCGATTGCCATCTGGTCAGCTTCTCCTAATTTGTTCATCTCTCCTATAGGTCTAGACCGGTATTAGTTCACAACAGTCGGCGTTTTGTTTGTAGCTCCTTCCTTTTCCCTTTTTTAGTCTATGTATCTCTCTAGATTGCAACAGTGCTCATGAATCACTATTTTCAGATTTTGTCTTGCTTTTCATCGGGTGTCGTTGATTATTCGTCATCTTTCTAGGAAAAATGTGGTAACTTGCTTTTGCTACACCCCAGTGTATCGTTGACCGTAACTACACGTAAGCGTTAGCGTGGTTGACTCATTTCTTCACACCTACTTGGTCAACATCGTTTCAGATTTCACTGGCAATATGCCGAACTCTGACACCCACTTCACAACCCTGCATGTCATAATTTTTGTTTCAACGGCCGACCAGCAACATTTCTTCAACCCCCGTGCTTTCTGGCGGACGACGCCAACTGCAGGCAATAGTATAACACAGTCAAGTAGCGATGCCTTGGGATACCTATTGTCTGGCCTCTCTCATATTCTTTAGTCGCTGTCATAGTCCAAATTTTCAAGAGTTTGGCATCTTGAATATTATGACCATGGAAGATCAGTCTAATCTCCGTCACATCTATGTTACCTGTCACCGTAATTCCAATAGACTGAAAAGTGCCGTGCGAGTCAAGTTCATGAAGAGTAAGTCGGGTTTCGTCTAAGTTGAGACTGCGGTGGTCAGTTCGTCACTGCATGTCGGCTGCTGAAGCATGGCCACGTACATTAGAAGCTCACCCTACTCGTGTTCCTCGACGTCAAGGGCGCCTTCGATTCAGTGGATCCATGTTCTATTTGGGACTACCTGATTAGTCCAGAGGTGCCCGAGAAATAAGTAAATGATTATAAAAGTTTAAAGCAGTTAGTTCCCTCCAGAAATTTGAAAAGCACGGTAAGAAGACGAAAACTGGTAAATGCATGCATTTCGTATTGTCTCCTCAGTACTATTAACAAGAACCGGTATGCAATTATATACTTAAATATGTGTGTGACTCTATATAAATCTTTTTCTTGGCCGCCGTATGCACCAAGTCTTTTGAATCTCGCTGTTGGCTGTGTCTCTCTATAAATCTACGTGGATAACCATTTGCAACGAGGGTCGTTGTAATTAACTCTAGCTCGTCGGCTAGACAATCAGCCGAGCAAATTCGTCTAGCACGACTAACTAAAGTTTTCACAAGGGTCCGCTTGTACCGCACTGGTGTGAAACTGGTGAAGTGCAGGTATTGGCCGGACCAGGTTGCTTTCCTGTAGATAGACCTTTTAATGAGCCCGTCAACCCTGCGACTGATGAGGATGTCTAAGAATGGCAGACAGTTGTTTTGTTCCACTTCGCAGGTGACCCGCAAGTTGGTATGTGCACTGTTGAGTTGCTGCACAAACTGGAAAATCGGCTGCTCCGATGAACAAAAGGCCAATATGTCATCCACATAACGCTTATAATATGGTAACTGGGCTATTTCTGCGGATATGCCTCTTTCTATCATCAGCATGAAAAAATCGGCAAGTACAGGGCCTAGCGGGCTACCCATTGCCACACCATCGATTTGACGATATGGGATGTTCTGAAAGTGGAAGCCAACATTTGCTGTACACAGAAGTAAGGATTCCTTTAGAAATTCGACTGGAATTGGTAACGAATAACTAGATTGCTCAACTAGCTCACATATGTACTCAACAGTTTGCTGTGGTGGAACGTTGGTGAATAGAGATTCAACATCCAAGGAACACAACCTTATCGGAGAGGTTGATGTCATCTAAATCGATAAGTTGAAACGAATCTTTAAGACTATAAGGATTGGACATTTGTCTTAGAGGCGAAAGTATCTTCACTAGCCAGCGAGCCAATTTATGCTGCGGCGATTTACCATTGATAGATTCGGCCTAAGTGGTACTCCTCTCTTGTGTGTCTTCGGTGACCCATATAACTGCGGAGTAGTGTTACCACATGGCTTCAAACAATTATAGGTGTCACTATCAATCACGCGATGAAGGAGAAGCATTTCAAGATGGGCAGCAATGCTAGTTTCAACGTCGGCTACGTTCTCCATCTTATTAAGTCGTTCGAATTTGCTCGTGTCGTTGAGTATGTTACTCATTTTCTGAGCGTACTCGGCCTTATTCATGACCACAACTCCAGAGCCCTTATCCGGTTTCATCACAACTACGTTCTTAGTACGCAGTTCACGCAGCGCCTGAAGGTGTCGGCCTGTAAGTGCGCATTTTTCAGTCACTGGCACAGTCTTAACTTCGTGGGCAATGTCGGTCAATTTGTTTCTAAACCAAACAACACTCTCAGGACTGGATGGTTGAAGCTCCTTAAATTGATCAAAAAAGTTCTCAAACTGAGCTTCTATAAACAACCCGTTCAGTCTTCTAGGAGGAATTTTGTAATCAAGCCCATATGACAAAGCTTCTAACTGCAAAGCGTCTAGTTGTACGTCTGATAAATTCACCACGTACTTACTAGGATCACGAAGGATTGGCTCCTCATCCTGGCTGTTCGTAAGCGAGTTCTCCAACCGAGTATTCCGATTTCGCCTTGTACGGTCGAGAGTGGATTTGCAAAAGTTAGCGAACACCATACGACAACACAAGGATAGATCCTCTACCACATGTAGTAGGCGTGCGTGAGTTTCCAGTAAACTCAGAAGTTTGGACTCGGCCGTCTCCAAGTGAGCGGATGCCACACGTTTGAGGTTAGCCACAGATGGTTTGAGTTTATTTCTACGCAGCAGTGTGAGAACCGAGCGGGGGTATCTACGCAGGAGAATACATTTCCTAAGAAAGGATATTTCCACATGTGCGCACACGATCTTGCACCTCAGGCTGACTATACGATGAAGCAATTTGATAGTTTCAGCGGGAATTCGTCGTTTGAGAAATTTAAAGCAGTTAGATCCCTTCAGAAATTTGAAAAGCACGCTAAGAAGACGAAAACTGGTAGATGCATGCATTTCGTATTGTCTCCTCAGTACCAGCATCCCTGTCCCACTGAAGTTCCGTGCTTGCGCAAGCCGCCAGTTTCCTCAATAGGTAAACACCTACTGACTACGCGTCACCGGATAGAGCTTGGATCAGCGTGCACACTTGTATTACGTCACCCTAATCCCCGCTTCCTCCGTTTCGCCGAGGCCGTTGCGACAAGCCGGATGAAGCCGGCCCTGCGTGTTCAAAAGCAAGTATTTATCAGCTTAAGACTGCCGTGGACATAGGGGTGAAACTTCCGTCATTCATTTTGCACCCCATGCTTATTCGGTCACACACATATTTAAGTATATAATTGCATACCGGTTATTGTTAATAGTACTGAGGAGACAATACGAAATGCATGCATCTACCAGTTTTCGTCTTCTTACCGTGCTTTTCAGATTATAAAAGTATTAAGTGGAAGCTTATGGTAAACTGTCGCCGCCCTTCAATATCTCCAGCGGCGTGAGACAGGCATGTCCGCCATCACTTTTGCTTTGTAACCGCTACTGAAGGAGTTATTGGGACTGAATGTGTAGTTGATTCAGATGTTTCACTTTTTAACTTGAAGTGTGTCGACCATATTGTCCTTGACTGTGACAGCTCACAGACGTGCCAAGCGGCACTAGACTGACGAGCACTGAATGTCAATCGTTTCGGGACGCGTGTTGCATCCACAAAATGCACCGATTTTCTCCTGGATTTGAGTGGACCGCTCCGTAAGATGATCCTTGAATGCATTAGCTAGAAATTGTTCAGAAATTCAACTAAGTATCCATAGCATGGCCCGCGTAACAGAGAATATGGTCACGAACCGCATGGTAAAAGTTCGAAATGCTTCCGTCGGTCCTTGACATCCATAGTGCCGACACAATATCCTCCTCACTGGAAAGCTACAGTCTATGACAGCGTCGTTCATCTAACCTTACTGTATGATTATGAAACATGGTCTGCCAGCTCGACAGACATAAAGGCGCTAGTTGGGTCTGACCATTGCTACATTCACAGTTTGGGTGATGTATGGTGGGAACACCGCGCGAACAATGAGCGTGTTTGGAGTCAGTAGTTGGACCGAGGCAGCCGACGCTGGAGAAGGTGTTGGTGTGATCTACCTGAATTTTTCCAAGGCTTTCGATCGTCTAGACCATCGGATACTACTTTCCAAGCTGCAGCATTACGGGATCGGAGACCCACTTTTAAGCTGAATCGCCAACTTTCTATTTCAACGGCAATTAGTGGTCATAGTTCGGAGCTCTTTATCGGACCCCATACAAGTGGTGTGGTGTGTCGCAAGGCTCTGTTCTAGGTCCACGTTTGTTTTTGGTGTTTATTAATGATCTTGCACAGGGAATCGCTTCAAACTCCCTAATGTTTGCCGACGAAATCAAGATCTGGCGCAGGATCCAGGCGATCACCGACCAACATGTGCTTCAGAATGATTTAGATACGGTGTATCAATGGTCGACCCAAAACTTATTGCATTTCAACGTCAGTAAATGCAAGGTGCTTTCCATCCGACATCAAAGCAGCTACTCATACCGACTCGGAACGGATGTACTGCAACAATCAACTCTTGAACGTGACTTGGGTGTCCTGGTTCAAGATGATTTGGGTTGCTCCAGGCAATCCGAAAAGTCCTCGAAGACCGGGAACCAACTCGTAGGGCTGTTGAAGCGGGCGTTTGGACAAACCAACAGCTCCATATTTCGACAAATGCTCAGTGCGTATGTTCGCCCCCATGTCGAATACGCAATTCAAGCCTGGCATCCATGGCTGAAACACGACCTTAATGCACTGGAGCAGCCACAACGTCGGGCATCTAAGAACGTAATTGGAATGCGCAATCTTTCCTACCAGGAGAGGCTGCGACGACTGGGATTGTTTAGTGAAAGCTATCGCAGACTACGAGGCGACCTGATTATGGCATACTTGTTTCTGCGAGACCCACAACATGTGTGCCGCCCTTTACTGCAACTCAGCAGCAATACAAACCTGAGGGGCCACTCATTAAAACTCGCAGAACAATACAGTCGTCTGGAGTGCCGCAGAAATTGCTTTGCCATTCGTGTCTATCACCCGTGGAATGCTCTCCCAGAATCTGTCGTCTCTGCACCAACACTAACAGTATTTAAAAGACGGTTGGACGATGCACTCATCCACTTACACTTTGTTACTTAACACCACGTCTCCATGCTACACCTGGAGTTTACCATGGAATTATTTGTTGTTAACTGCGGGTGCTGTGAATCTAAGAGGATCGCAGGACTGCAGCGAAGCAAACGATAAGTCCTTATTTTCGTATTTAAAGTATTAACTATTTTACTATCCTTATCATCATTATTGTTATGTTGATATCCCCACCAATTATCCAACGGGACTTGTAAAGCAACGCTTCTTAACCCGTATAAATTCATTGTTCATTGTTCATTGTCATGTGTATGATGTAGGGGGAGCGTGCGAACCGCTCAGCACCGTTTTATAATCCACCAGAATCAGGTGGTTGGGTCAAATGCTGCGTATGTCAGCACAGAAACTCAAATGAGGTGTGTTGCTTCGGCGACCAGCTCTCGTTGGCGAAGAATAAGGGATATTCAACCGATAACTTCTTCAAGTGCCATGAATGACATCACTTTGAACTTGGATTTGATTGGAACCTCGCGCCTACCTGGTTGGGATCCGAAAGACCTTGAATATGTCTGTTTGGAGATGCTAGTTGCCACGACCAAGAGCTAACATGAGTAGCACTTGTGTTGTGAGTTTCGTTGTCGTTCCCGCTCCCGCTTGGCCCCCTTGTCAACCGAGATCTCCTTCTACTAAAAAAATGCATAACATAATTCGCTTCTGTGTTACGTTATTTTGTTGTTGCTGAGACCACCCAGCTCCGTTGAACTTGCGCAGATATCACTTGCGTGTTCTTCAATAATACTGTCACTATGCGGAGACCAAACCTGCACAGATACCAACTGAGCGCACCTCGTTGAAGCCACAGTTATGTGTCTACGCAAACTGCTTAGAGTTAACTTAAACTCTCCCAAACACGCTGCTGTGCCCAGCATAGTAAACCAGAGTGATTGCAGCTGAGTTTTCCTTACGACACCTGCTCTAGATGTCAATTCATATGCCGTACAAATAGTTAACTTCCTGTACAGCGTATACTATGCGCCACCGTCCTATTAGCTTATACATACGGTGATGTAGAAGGTAGGATCACCTTTGGCTGAGTCAGCAAACGAACGCTCGCAAGCAGTCTTTCTTATCTGTGTCTCGGTGCAGTTGTGAGTAGTTAAGCGCTCTGTCCCCAGTTTCAACCCACCTGCACGCATGTCTGGTGGTTATGTCTGCCATACCATACCGATCCGCATTCAACTGGCTACTCTGGCTGTAGGGTACTATCGAGGAAAAACGTTTGTCTGTTCCGGCTAGGAGTCGAAACATCTAGGATGTTTGTGACTTTTCTGTTGCGCCTTTTTATCACCATCTAGTTGGAATGTGCTACAGTACCATAGCGGTGATGATGACTTCCCCGTTTCTGACCAATTCTTTCTCATACCACATCGTGAAACGTCCCATTGTGGAGTCACGCGCTGCTACTATTTCGTCCTGGTGAGAGAAAGCTGCCTGATACCGCCTCTACGAGCGATATTGTCACACTGCCTAGCAAGCGTGAAATGGTGTAGCCGGAATTGAGATCAGCGCTATCCCAGTGCCCCCAACTTACTGGTGTAAGACCAACAATCCATTGTCTTTTAGTTGGCTTTGACGATCAGGACGCGGAACTAAATAAACCGCTCACCTTGTTGGGCGTTAACTTACTCAGATTTGTTCATGGGGTGCAGAAGATAGGACTTTCGCCATGCATCTGATAGGCTTTTCGAGCTCCTGGACTTCAAATCCGTCTGTGCATAGCCAAAATTGCGGCAACTTTGACAGAGACTTGGCCGTTTAGGTCGGCAGACTTTGGGCGTCTGGGGTCTTTTAACCATGGCTGCTCATCCAACATTCTCTCTGTTGTTAATACAGTCAAACCTGTCTAAAGCGACCCCACAAGAGACGGACAGAAAGTGGTCGCTTTGGACAGGTAGTCGTCTTGGCCAGGTGGTCGCCGTGGACAGGTTCATGCATAAGGACATTATTCATAAAACAAAATCTTGGGGATGTTTTTGGCTGGTCGTCATAGATAGATGATCGCCTTAGACAGGTGGTCGCAATAGCATGTTGGACTGTACCTGTTTATCTGTAATAATGTGGTGCACGTACGTGTCCTAGTCGATCCTGACCAATTGCTTTCATCGGAAAAATTAATAATAATGAATAAGTTACCAATGAAATATATCAGAAGACGCAGGTTGCGCCGTTTGCGAAGAGTGCACTTCGTGCCTTCTCTTAGATCACACACACGCAACACTGTTAAGTTCTAGGAGGACGGGGTGGTGTGAGAGAGGTTGACGGCCGGACGGTACTCCTCAGTAGATCCAGCATCAATGTCAGCTGCTCTTGGACATGGAGCTGTGGTCACTCTAGATCTATTGCAAGGGCCTCAAAGAACAGGCGTTTCCTTGAAAAGGCGCTTATGCTGGCGCTGACGATGTCACTGCTTATATGTTCAGTAGCGGCACAAGTGTCAAAGCAGTGCTATCCCATTGTTTATGCAGAACGAAGTACAATTGTGGAGCCAGTTATTTGGGTGCTCTGACCGAAATCTGATTGTCCAACTCGACAAACACACCTCAAATTGTTTGCGTGGACTAGTGGAATCGTTGGCAATTGGACAGAGTGAGATGAAAAGTAAAGATGCCTCAACAAGTAGGGGGCAGTTGTTGAACATGATTCATCACTTGAACCCTGATGCACCACTCAGGATGCTCAAGAGTAATTAAAAACCTCGCATTCCAAACTTCGTTAGGACTTCGTTATCGACCGACTACGACTGCAGCTCCGTGCCGAGAAACCACTGAATGTAAGGTTACGTCTGCCGTGGTGGTGCGAGGCTCATTGTGTGAAGACACTTCCTCAATTATAAAACCGGATGCTAAAGTGAATGCCTAAATTACCTAAGCTCCGTTGATGATGCGTTAAAGCTTGCAGCAGAACTCGAGTCGCAGAGCCGTACGATCTCGTTTTTTGATTGTTTAGCTCGCAGGAAGTAAGGCAAATGTGATAGTACATCAGGAAGCAGCGAGCACGGTGGGAGTATTTAAGCAAACCAAAGCATGTTTATGCGGGAATTATTTCACACCTGCTTTGCAGAACGAGTGCATCATGTGCGGAGGAAGGAGATAGAAAAGTTGCACAAGGAGAAACGGTGCGGAACTTAGCAGCCAGTGGATGCCCGAGACGATTAGTTAAACGCCAGTTACAAAATTCGTTTAATGCGCATCCAAGACCAACCATGTAGTGGATAGCTAGAGCGAGTATTGCGTATAAAGAAGGAACTGGAGGCAATTCGGTGGGTTCTGAACAAAGAGAAAGCCATAATAACACTCAAAAAGAACCAACCGCTACCATCGGCGCCGGCGCACTACAAGGACTCCTTTCTTTTAACTAGAACAACTAACTAGTTCCAAAAGCTCACATAAAGCTTGTGTACATATGCATAAAGACCAAACGGCGACTTAGTTACGCAAGAAACTTTGCAGAATATAGCTATGTTACTGATGCTTAAGAACGGGCTGGAGTTTACAGCACAACTAAGAGACCGCAGTAGCGATGCATGCGTAAGACGCTGCGTGTGAAATCGACTTCAAAAATGTCGAGGCCAGCAGGAGAGGGTTGCGATCAACTCCAGAACTAATCGCTGTGATTGTAGAAAACACAATAACCAGTAATTGCGTAAAAAGCTAGTTGGATCAGGGCTGTCGAGGGCCTCGTGTCCAGTCTTACTCGGGCCGTTTCGATGAACCTCGGTGGATGAATGTCATCTACGATGAACTACCAACACCTCCACCAGCATGATCTTAGACATCGACGCAATGTTCCATCAGTCGTTCGATAAATTACCCCAAAACAGACCACTTGAGTTAGCCCTGTAATTGTATTCTGATTGCGTCTTCTTATCTAGAAGTTTAACTAGAATTTCCTGGCTCGTATTTCTCAAGTGAACGAGTTGCGTTGGCTCAGGTGTTACTAGATATGGTTGCTCATCATTTATCTATGTGAATTTTATTTCTTTTACTGTTCTTCTACAAGCATAATGATAGGGCCGAGAATCATTGGACTGATGACCACAGATGTGTCCACTGTGAGTTAAGTGGGGGCTGTCGATCTGTGTCGCCCCGGTGGTTGGTGTTCACTCTGTGTTTGGCTAGTGTTTCACATGGCAGGGTGTACAGCCAGAGATAGTGCTCTCTAACTGGATCCTCTGTTGAAAATTCATATGCTGCGTTTTCTGTGAGGCAAGACTGTGTCGTGATTGGGGCAGTGAGAGCAGCAAGATTTTGCTTTCCTATTGTCGTATTATAGTTGCATGACGGCCAGGCAATTGTGATCTCACGATGATAACACGATACAGGTGCACTGATCCCGAAAGCCTTCACTACCTGGTCTTGTTCTAAATTGTGCCTGTACTAACCTTTTCTCGGGATCCTTAGTGAGACCATCTCACATTTTTGTGGTTGCAAAGTAGCTGAACACCAATGCATACTACTAGTTTCCTGCAGTTGATAATGATGATGGTACGCTCGTGTATCCTGGCTGCTTGGTGCGTAATGTCTACCTGTCAGGCAATTGGTCCGCGAATCGCTAGGCTTGTTTCCTATTATACTGAACTTTCCATTTGAAGATGCACGTTGTAAATGTCCTGATTTGTTTCATGAGTCAAACTCGCCCTCTCTCCTACCTGGCAGTGGTGGACTCAATACGAGCAGTTGTGGAGAAATGCCAGCTTGTCTTGCAGTACAAACTGACCTTCTTCTTGACTATGTTGGACCACACAGAAAGCACCTCAGGCGAGATCGGGCTAATCGGGGTTCCTGTGATAAATCCCAGTGATCTAGAAGCATACTGGACCCTGATTGTCGAGGAAATCGCCAAAATTGATGCATTGTTTGATAGCTTGTGCAAATGGCGTGACGAATGGCACTGGGATCCAGCACATTGTCCCATCACACCTCCACAATCTGTGGTAACTCGGACATTTCGAAATAGAAAAGTGGTCTCGACTCCGAAACGAATGGGCGTTCCTATGGCTTCAAATTCGCCTGTGAAAAAGATACCGCTTCAATTGGCTTCTGGCACGACCTCTAGGACTATCCCCAGAGCAGCTTCGGTGAGCACACATATCACAGCTCGTGCTTGAAATCCGGCTGTCTTTTGAGCTCTCTTAATCTGCCATTATATTTCTAACTTTGTCCCTAAATAATTAGCCCCTCCACGGCCTTTGTAATCCCGTAGTTAACATCCCAAGTTCTAACCGTGTTCTGTTTCCTTCCATTGTGATAGTAGAATCTCATGTTGCTCGCTGCACGTAAGTTCATTATGAGTGGTTCATAGAAAATAGCAGTATCTGCGCTAATTTGATGGGAGCCAAATCCTATCACATTGTTTGTGTCGCAAAATGTAACCCACGCCGCCTTCGTATGGTTCTGTCTACAGCGTTTTAACATGGAGAATATCTGTCGGCCGTTTTCTGTCCAACCATCCATAGCTGCTTAGTAGTATTCAGATCCAGTCCTTTTCGAGGTGTCCAAAGACGCGTTTCCTCACTCAACTGGGGAGTGTAAGCGAGATGCTCCGTTGCTGACGTTGCACTCTGAGGGGCGAACGGAATCTGTTAATTCCGCTTCTTACTCACGGCTCATCACAATTGGTCGACAGATATCGTCATTTGTCATTTGCTTGTACTCATTTCATAATACTCATTGACTTCAAGGGCTGCTTTTACCACTGCATGGGACGACGACGACAACAACAACAACACTTCAGGCGACAAACCGGGTCATAAGTCTGCTTTATGAATCCACGAAGGGTGATTAGGCAACCGTAACCCACAGGCTACCGATGGAAGTAACTGGGGAAAATATTGCACTAGGATGTGTGTAACATAGCTAATCCTTATGAAGGTGATAGAACTAAGATGAGTAACCAGTTCTTGATTGATTTCACGTTGCTTCTTCATAAAAATGCTGCAAAATAGGGACAACGGATGAGCCATATATTGTTCTGCACATCTCTGGTCGGGCAAGTTAATGTAGGTCCAGGTACTGCTTTATGGGGGGGGTTTGATTGACATAAATGAGTTTTACAAACTTAAGATTTTTGCAGGAATTGCACACAAGATTAGACACAGTGATGTTGACAAGATATCGATTTGGAATGTCGCTATAATGAGGAAGTAAGTACTCTGAAGTTCTTGCTCAGAAGACGAGGGAAAGACATGGTGGCGCGTTAAGTCCGTTGTTGTAACAGCCATTCAGTGATAAATCGGGATAAATTATGGGAGTAAGCACAATGGAACGATGGATTGAACGCGGATAAAAAGCAAACGCTTAGCCGCTCCTGTATGAAAAGAATGAGAGCAAAAATGTGTCAAGGAAAAATAACGCGTAACAGTTGGCTCACCACAAATGTCCCACGTACACATAGTTTGGTTATTTCGTCCCGTGTCTCAGGTATTTGGGTTAAATCATGCAATACCAGTTGTCCAAAACATCATCAAGTCAAGTTTTAAATTCATCTAAGATAGTGTAGGGGCGGGGATCTCAGTTCACACAGAAATGTCCCGGAAGCAGCAGGAGATCGGGACTAACGCGGAGACTGGGAACGGGAATCGTCAACCCAGCTCGTGGCCTACCATGCAAGCCGGGAATGGGTCGTCAGCGACGAACGATACCGCGGCCATGCCGAGAAGAACAAGAGGCGACATGAAAGGGAGCCCGATTTTCCCAAGAGATATGCCTTTATCTACGGCCCCAGGAATCGGCCCGACTGGAGCAACACAGCCCCGAGCAAGCAAGTCGAGAGCTTTGGTACGAATCCAGTCTGGATAGGCTGCGACGCAAGGGAGCAGAAATGTGGGCGGAAAACGGCACATTCAATGTCCACGTCGGATCAGCCTAATGGCGCTTTGTGGACACCACTTCACTCGGCGGAACGTGGTGCGTCGTAAGTGGGAAACGCGGCTATATTTGTGTGTGTGTGTGTGTGTGTGTGTGTGTGTGTGTGTGTGTGTGTGTGTGAACCTCTCAGCGTGCAATAAACGGCGTTCTCCCCTACCGTGTTCTCGCTACAATAGGAGCGCAGTGGACAGAATGCGGAACTGAGTTACACGATTAGGATACGCGTATGGAGAGTACGTTTCGGTGGCATTCCAACCGGCTGTACTGTGTGGGTTACTTCAAACGGTGGCCTCACATTGAGACGTTGTGACTGAGATTCAGTAAGGCTCGACAGGCGTGGTTAGGATACTCGAGGATCTACTGCACCAACATGAGATCACCTTGCAGAAGACGATGTTGCTTGCTGTAAACTCCTGAAGTCTTTAGTCTCAACTGTCGTTGCTCTCCTCCGAGGCTACTAAAGAGCATGGAGATCATGTTTTTTGCCCGATGGGCCACGAATCGATCGAGTATTTCCCACCTGGCCTCACCTAAGCGCCCAACATTTGCAAAAAATGTGGGATCAAACCGACCAAACATCCTCCACGGTATACTCAAGGGTTAAACAAGCATGTTCTGGGTCGCCCAGTCGCAAGCCTTATCGAGATTACCTTGTAGCGCTATGTAGTAATCTACTTGCTTGGTTGCCCGCCAAATTTTGAGATCGTCTTCAAAGTAGCAAGTTCCACTTCAACACTCCCACGGGTAGTTTATGAACACTAGGAGTAGCCCTGGTCCTAGTACTGAGCTTTGAGGGACGCCACAGTGAACCTGTATCGGATCGTATAGAGAGTTACAAACTCGCACATTAAGCAGGGATGGAACAGAAATGAATGTATTCATCCCAGGATAGGACCATCGATCCCGTATCCCAGAGGCTTGTAAAGAAGAATGCGATGGGTCGGACGATCGAAGTAGTTGGCGTCGACTCCTTCCCTAACATCGGCAGATTCCAGTCAGCTTGTTCGAGCTAACAGCAAGTTTGTAGCGCAAGGCAAATTTCGGCGGAATCCTTAGGGCAGTTACACTACGATGTTCCTCACAAGGTGCCTCTACGATAATATCTTCCATATCTTCAGATAGTACCAGGAGGAGAATAAATGAACGGTAGTTCGACGACTGCGCACGATTGACGCTTTCGTAAATAGGAGTGACTATTCCATGTCCCTATATTGCGGGTATGTGCATTTCATCAAGACATTGTTAACAAAACTGTGATAACGGTTTCGCGAAGTGCTTGCTGACTGTAATTAATGCCTTAGGTCTTATGTCGTCCACGCCAAGAGTGCTGAACAATGAACAATGATTTATCACGGGTAAAAAAGCGTGTGCTTGACAAGTCCCGTAGGATGTTTGGAGTGAAAATTAAAATTGAAAGAGCAGCGAATAAGTAAATCGTCATTTTAAGCGTCTACCGATTTAAATGCACTGCTGCATAACGATCGTTTGAAATGGGAATGGGATGTGCACACAAAATAGTATGAAGAGCAGTTATAGTTCAGTAAATGCGTGAGCAATAAAAAAGGGAAACGACAACGCTCACACGTGTGTTGTTTCGTTTGATCGAGGTGAGAGGTTAATCCAGCAAAGATACATCCAAGCTATTCACAGCGACACTTATGCACGTATCCTCACCGCCATATTGAGGAGAGGGCCGTTAAGCCGTTATTTCGTCTCCGAGTAAAACGGACTACATCAAGTAATGCAAGCTGGAAAGCGTGTCATCTAGGCGTTTTTTGAATAACGTTAATGTAGGAGCAAGGTTGAGTTGAGTCGGAAGAGCGTTCTAGGCACGGGACACACGGAGGAAGAAAACGTTTCGTCGACAATTAAGTTGGCTGTAGTGCATAGCCAGTGTGAGCTGGTGACCTCTCCGGTTGGTATTTTGGCTTACCTGCAACAGATTGTGACATGGGTGAATTGGGATCATCAGTATTAAGTAAACCATGATGATGTCCCCTCGCTGACGTCGATATTCATCACTATAAAGGCTCAGGACTGCAGTCTGCGTTGGCAGGGTAGGTGAAACAATCCTCTAACGTGTTTGGTTGCTCTACGCTGTGGAGCTTCCGGTGTATCAACTTCGCGCTTACGCCAGAGCCGCCAGGTCTGGGTCGCATATTCCACGTGAGGCCTCACGTAGGCGTTCAGCATTTGCGGGAAGATGGATGGCTCAACTTTTCAGAAAGCCCTGTAAGAGTCCAAGATGCTGACTGGCTCTTTTTGATGCCTTTTCAGCCTGTCTCGAGCAGCCAAGATCGTGCTGCACGATCAGCCCGAGGTCGTTTTCCTGGGAAGCAAGGTGCGACTGTTGGTCCCCAAGTTGATATGCATGGGTAAGCCGATGGCGTGTGCTCACGACTTTGCACTTCGCCACGTGGAACTAGATCACGTTTGCGGATGACCACATGTAAGTCCTGTCCAGCTGGCTCTGCAATGCCGCGTAATCATCCGCTGCCCTGATGTAAGGCCAAATTTTGACACTATCTGCAAATAATAAGAAATTCGACTGCAATATACAGATCGTTAACGAATACTAGGAATAAACTTGGTCCCGGTACCGATCCTTGGGCATGCCATACTGGATGTCAATTGGGTCTGCAATGAAGCGTTAGACTCTCACATTCATCCGCCGTTGAGTGAGGAAGTTGTCGATCCAACCGAGCACAGGGTCACCGGTACTATAGCCTCGAAGCTTGTGAAGGAGAATGCGGTGGTCCAAACGATCGAATACCTTCGAGAAGTCCAGGTAGACGAGGTCGACTCCCCCTCTGGCATCGGCTGATTCTGTCCAGCTTGCTCGGGTTAGAAGCAAGTTTGTAGCGCAAGACCGATTTCGGCGGAATCCGTGCTGCTATGACACTAGGATGTCGTTGATCTCAAAGTAGCTCATGAGCGCCTCTGCGATTATACTTTCAATTACTGTGGATAACACTAGGAGGAGAGTGATTGGACGGTAGTTCGAGGGCTCCGCACGATTATCACTTTTGTAAATAGGAGTGATTAGTCCAAGTTTCTACATTGTGGGCACCTGCATTTCGTCGAGACAATATTGAAAGAACCAAGCTAAAGGTTCGGCAAGCTTTCCTAGCGGTTGTTTTCAATGACATCGGTTTGATGGTGTGCACGCCAGGTGAGCTGTGCACGCGCAATGACATTAGCCTTTTATCACATTGGCTGCCGTGAACCATACGTGATTTAATCCTGGTGGCGATGGGAACTGTGTCAAAAGCAGGTGGAATGATGATTCACTCTGGGAAGTATGGATGAAGGGTTGGCGAAGCATGTTGGTCGCATCTTGCATGGTTTGCACCAGACCATCTGTTGCACGTAAAACTGGGATCTCCCGCTACACCCTCCGGAGCTTGTTGACGTGTCTATACAGCAACATGGGCTTTGTACTGAATTTCGTCGCTAAGTTCGGTTGGTGCTGAAGTTTGTCTTCGCGGATCAACTTGACGCAGTGGTTTCGTTGAGTTGTGTAAGCACCCCAGGTCAGGTTACTTGGACAGAGTTCGTAAGCGCGCTTGAGTCCATCCAGGCAACATCGGCGGGCCGCTCGGCTAGAGAGGATTAGTTAGTTTTTTGAGCGAGTTTGGACAGGATGCCGTAATGAGAGACGACGTAAGCTCGATGGACTACCCTACTTGCAAGTCATATCTAGTCCATCAGAAACTGCTTCCGTGCACACACACGCTCACACACACACACACACGGGTTATAATTTCCCGAGCCTTATTTGCTTCCAAAGAGGACTTCAGTTGACTTTTAGCTTCAAGAAACCCTCAGTTTCAAGTCAGTTCATGACAAAATAAGATTTATATACGCAAATGAATGTATTTTTAGCATTTTAACTAGTGACTGCAGCCGAACTATAAGAATGTCATTAAATATACCAAAATTTCATCAATGGAGAAGGAAGCAATGATTCGCTCGAGCAAACAGTTCTTTGTCTTTGAGTAAGGATGGCAGATTACTGAAGGAATTAGCGGGATTTCTAATCGATTTTGCTAACATCTCTTGATAACTGGTTTCATTTCAGCTAATGTAGTAAATTGCGAAATTTGTCTGGTCTCGAGACACATGTTTTTAAACAATTGGCGGGGTTAGACGATCTCAATGATTTTGGAAATAGTTTTACCATAGAATTCGTCAAAATATTGCTACATCCATGGTAGATAGAGTAAAGATGATGTTTAAGCGGAAATGGCAATTGCCAGTTTCGTTTTCTCCGCCTCAGTCGACAACATTTTGCACTTACTGGCAACCAGTGTCTACTACATTTATCATGTGACCGCTACCATTGCTTGTTCTATCGGTCCAGCCACTGAGAATACTTAGGTGCTCGGAGCTAAGCCTTCACGTGTGTTCTGACTATGTTGACGATCTCGTACCTTTCAGCAAATGACTACGGACGGTGAGAGTAAGCAACGGTTACCGACACAACAGGCTGTCACACCGGTCTCCGAACTCCTGAGATATAGTTGGGTATTGAAATCCCAATAAAGCGACACCTGGCCAGAGGTGCTAAAGGACATTATTCCTGGTAAGCTGAGCCTCCTCCAAACAGCCATTGGAGGCACTAGTTGGGCGTTCGTGCTGTCCAGTTCACTTTGGCACTATATTTTCCCTTGCTGGTGATCAAGCGTCCAGCCTTAGTCAGAATTAAAAAAATGCGTCGACTACTGTACGCACATGCGTTTACTTTCTCTATAATTCAGTCAAGAAAGACATCCTTGAAGCGCTGCCATCTTCATCCTATTTGAACGGAAAGTACGGTTACTCAAGTTTTCCTGCAACAAACATTCAAATGGCACCAGTCCAACATAGCTTGTTCCCCAACTTTCCATACCACTGTTATTTTTATCTTGCTATCCAACTACTGGGATGGCAACATGTGGAGTTACGCTGGAGGTACTTACGGAATCCGCAAACTATCGCCCTGTAGCCCTGCTTCCTGTACTCTCAGAGGTGATGGAAGCTATCCTCGCCGAGGATTTAGTTAATAACTAATAAACAATAATTTTATATGGGTTAAGAAGTACTGTTTTACTAGCCCCGTTGGGTGATCTGGTGGGTTATCGCATAACGTTAATGCAAAATTAGTTATTAGTGCTACTGTCCAAAGAATGGACTTATCGGATGTAATGCCGTAGTTATGCACTCCAAGTGTTTCCATAGCTCCGATAGGCGAAAAATAAATGCAAGGTATTTACAGGGTGTAGGATGGAGAGTTACGTCAAGTAATAAAATGGAAGTGACGGAGCGCGTCATCCAACTGACTTTTAAATATGGCTAACGTGGGTGCTGAAACAACAGATCCGAGGAGAGCGTTCCGTGGTTGACACAGGAATGGAAAAATAGTTTCTACGGCTCGCCAGGCGGCTGTATTGTTTTGCTAATTTCAAGGAGTGGCCTCTAACCTTAGTGTTACTGGTGAGCTGCAGTAAAGAGTGGTACACATGATTTGGCTTGTGTAAAATCTAATACGCCACAATCAAGTCGCCTCGTAGTCGGCGATACCGCCCATTGAATACTTCCAAACATTTCAGGCTCTGCTCTTACGGAAGGCGGCGCATTCCAATGACGTATTTAGAAGTCCGACTTTGAGGTTGATCCAGTGCAGTAAGGTCATGCTTCAACCATGGCTGCCAGGCTTGGACTGCGTAATCGGTATGGGGACCAACACACATTCAGCATCTGTCTGAAAATAGTGGTGTCTAGCTGTCGGGACGCCTGTCGCAGCAAGGCGACGAGCTGGTTACCGGTTTTCGAGACCTTTGCGGATTGCTTGGAACAAACCTAGTTATCCTGAACAAACACGCCAAGGTCGCTTTCGACGGATGACTGCTACTATACTTGCATTCCTAGCTTGTAGGATTAGATATTCTGGTGTCATGGTGAGTACCTTGCATTTGTCCATGTTGCACTATTACCGATTTCGGGTTGATCAAGCATGTACCGTAGCTAGGTCACTCTGAAGTAAATTCTGGTAGCCATCCGCCTGAATCCGGCGCCATATCTTGATATCGTCGGCAAAAAGCAGGAAATTCGAAACGATACTCCTGCAAAGTCATTGATGAATACCAAAAACAACCGTGGACCTAGAACTGAACCTTGGGACACACCAGACTCGATTGGTATGAGTTCAGATAGGGAACTCCGGAAGCTCACCACTAATTGTTGTTGCAGGAGAAAGCTTGCGATCCAGTTCAAGAGTGCATCATTGATCCGGTAATATGGGAGCTTGGAAAGGAGAACCTGACGATCTAAACGATCGAACGCCTCCGACCAATCCAAGTAGGTCACATCAGCGCCCTCGTTAGCGTCAGCTGACTAGGTCCAACTATTCCGCGCGATTAATAACTTCGTCGTGCATGACTGCTGTTGACGAAAGCCGTGTTGCTCTGGAGCAATACTGTTGCAGTTTTCTAAATAACACACCAACACATCTGTAACGATGGATTCGATGACCTTGGATAATACAGGGAGAAGAGACACTGGACGGTAGCTTGAGGGCTCAGTTCTGTTTCCGCCTTTGTGAATCGCCATGAGGAAAAATCAGTGATACCAGTCAATAACGGTACTGACTCTACGACAGCTCCATTTCAGATGGTCTCTCCAGCCACTGATGCTTCTGATCTTGAGGCCTTCATCCGATCCAACCCCGTATATTGCTTTCCGCTACGCCCCTAGTTGGCGCGCTCCTCAGCTTCTCCTAACTAGGCACGTTGTCCACAAACAACAGTTACGCAGGCTACTGCTCAATGCGAATACAGGGACATATGCTAGCCAATTAGCCCGACTCGAGTGTATGTTATTGTTGTACTAGAAGGCTTGTGGTCAGCCCGTTGACGAGCATTATGTTTGCCCATTTTATCGTCTTTCCACTCCCCCTGCTTCTTTTCACTCTAAAAGTGCTATTATTTTATTTCTCCAGGAGAAGGAACAACTTGCCAACCCAAGGTCTGCCGAAAAACCCGTTGCCAAAAGAACAGGTGGGTATGTGCTAAAGCATTTTCTATTGTACATCATGTCAGTATCCAGGGTATTTAGTCGGAAAACGTGCGATATCAACTGCCAACCAGTCCCAGTCTATTTATCTCCTACACTCCACACCGTGGGCAAACCAGTGTCACCTTCATACTACATGGTTACTCTAAGCTCGCATTGTGTGCACATGGTTTCACTGATTCTATTAACGGAGGCGTATTCCTCCCCTCTCCTTTTCTCCCATTCCGTTGACTGATGCTTATACTGCCTTACGGGGCATCAGTTATCACAGTGTAGCCTGTGCGGGGCACTTTACATGAACCAGCAGCTATTGTTTCCCTCAGTGTTGAAGGATATTTTGAGGTTCACTAGACCCAATAGACCATTGTTTCCGTAGCACTCGGCGTCCACACAGAAATTCCCTCTACTACTGCAAGAACATGGGTATCGATATCGAACTTTCGCAACAATGGGAATACATGATTCATCGTGTTACAGCGGCAGTACGCACACATCCGTGCAACGGGCGTGCACAAATATCACACAGTTATTTGATTATTTAGGAGCACAATTTGTCAGTTTTGGAATAAGATTACTCCAGTGAACTGTGCCGTTCAGTGTAACAGCCCTCATCAAGTTCCGATTCGAAAGGGTCCACTTTGCTGAACATTAGTACCCGCTCCTGTCAGTCGCAGCGAGAGGAGTTGGTGATACACCCAGGTGCATTCAAGTCAAGTAAAGATAACGGAACAATGGAAAAATATAACTGGGGTGTAATACGGATAAAAACCAATGCTTGATAGGTCCCGTGGGATGGTTTGTGTGGATTACGTAAGTTCGGTAAAAAAAAGTTGCACTCAAGTGAAACGCCTATCTGTGGACTGACCATGGTTGGCGGCATCCGGTTTCGGATTTGCCTGTCACTGTGGCAAGCCACAGGACGCCTGCGCCTACAGAGGGACCATGGATGGCTTGCGCTGCACCACCCACAGCTCCAACCACACACCCCATATCCAGTGTAAACCCGAAGGAATAAGACCGGGAGGCATGCGGATGGGAACCACGTTTCATCAACGGAGCCGGCCCACACTCCTTCACAGGCAAACACAAGCACGCTGTATTTGGGGAATCAAGCGCACACAAGGCGGTGGCTGGACCGTAGTCCGCTCCACACTGAGTGCATGGAACCACTCTTTGATCCTAACACGGCCACAAGGACCGTGCACCCCGTCCCCTCCAGCAACGACCAACTGTCTCCTGGAGCCAGTATGGACGAGGTAGTGGGTAATAGACAGGTAGGCACCTTGTCAACATGCACATCAAGCGCAGCCACACCGGGGATATCAAGCAACAGCCAATCACTTGAGAGAGAGAGACAAAGAAAATAACTCGATTAATGCATAAGGAAACGGTGACATAAACCTTAAGTTAATGAGCATATGAAATAAGTTGTTTACAAACGAATCCTAGATAAGTTCACGAGGTCAGAAAGTATACTTTACGGAAATGCCACGAACACAAAAATGTTATGGAAATCGAATACAATTGGCTTAAGCGAGGTGTGCAAGTTAATGGAATAGAGTACAGGTAGACATTTATATGAGAAAGAAAAGCATTAAGGCAAAATTGAAAACCCACCACCTGAAATAAAGAGACTTAGCATGCAAGCACGCGGTTAGTAAATCGAATGCAGCGTACCTACAAACGCTGCGCCGGTTCTGCCTACGTTCTCTGCAGGACCCGTCGTCGCTTCGGTAGTGGTCCCGAGTGGCCTCGCTCATGGCTCACTAAGCCTGCCTGACTAAGGCACTCGCGACCGCATGTTCTACAGCACCATGCGCTTGATGTCGATGGAGTACAACCCATCGGTGCTTGCCGCTTCCGCACTTGCCGCTTCTTCTCTGCATGCATGAGGGCTTTCTCCTGCACCTCGGCAACTGCCTTCGTGATCAGATCGCGCCATGCACGCCGATCAACCGCCTTCGATTCCCATGATCTGCAATCAAGATTAGAACGTGTGAGGCTCACTTTGATCATGTCCTGGTAACGTAACTTTGGTTTCCCCACATGCCGCTTCCCAATACTCAGCTGACCATATAATAGCTGCTTCGGTATCCGCGTCGAATCCATACGGCTCACATGACCGATCCACCTCAGGTGTCTCAATAAAAGTATGCAGTCCACTGCATACATCCCACTTCGGCGCAAAACTTCCGTGTCTGCAACTCTGGCGCCCCAGCCGATGCGCAAAATCCGTCGCAGACACTGCTGATGGAACCGCTCGAGATATCGCACATCCCGACGGTACATCGTCCACGTTTCACTGCCGTATAGAAGAACGGACAGCACCATGGATTTGTACACCATCAGCTTCGTGCCAATGGCAAGCTGATGGTTGTTCCACACTCGGTACTCTAGCTTCCCGAATGCCGCCGCTGCCTTCGACACGCGGATACGCAGCTCACTGTGTAGCTGCTGATCAGTCGACATCACACTCCCAAGGTAGCAAAAGCGGGAGGTGGTTTCCAATACTTCAGCACCAATGCTGATTCGCGACAATATTGAAGATTGCACCTCCGGTGAAGGCTGAAAGAGACAGACAGTTTTGCTTGTGTTGATGGTGAGCCCGAATTTGGCCGCTGTCGAAGCCAGAGCACTAGTCATGTGCTGCAACTCATCCGCGCTGTGTGAAAACAACGCACAGTCGTCAGCAAACAGCAACATACGGATAGTTGTCTCACAGACTAGAGTTCTCGCACCGAAACGACGGATGTTCAGCAACCCACCATCAATACGGTGCTCCACACGAACACCGTAAGCACAAGCCGCATCAAAAGCACAAGACAACATTGCATGAAGATATATATTAAACAGGGCAGGAGCTAAGACACAGCCTTGCTTCACACCAGAGACAACTGCAAAGTCATCTGAGGTCTCTCCACTCAGCTGCACCCTCGCTCGCATACCACTGTGCAGACATTCAATTAAACTTACAAACTTACGCGGGCAACCAAACTTACCCAACACCAGCCACAATGCTTCGCGGTTCACCGTATCAAATGCCTTGGTGAAATCAACAAAAAGCGAGTACAATGGCTGGTGTCGTTCTCTGCACTTCTCCTGCAACTGACGAGCCGCAAACACCATATCTATAGTGCTGCGACCCGAACGGAATCCACATTGCTCCTCCGCCACGTTAGGTTCCACAACCTGACTGACGAGGCGGTTGAGCAGGATTCGGGCAATCACCTTGCCCACACAACTCAGCAAGTTGATGCCATTAACATTTATTTTTGACATTTGCATGCATGGCTCGAGGGATGAGCTGTACAGCAATATGCCAAGAGAGGACGAATGTCCCGGCAGAATAGGAAACACTGATTGAAATAAAAAACTTCAAACAGTGGTCGGAACCGCGTCAATTGTCACCGTGTGGGATTGGGTGCATGTTATGTAAGGCGTGATGATGCACCACGCATGTAGGTGTCGTAGACCTTCAGAGTCAGACGAAGAGTAGAAACACAGAGGTCAGAAATATCAAGTGATGTCATCCCGAGTGCGGTAAGATGTTTGGCTGAGGTGGAACATATCATCCCTCGATTATTGATAACGACGGGGTGGTGAACAATATTTGTCGTCTCAGGAAACTGTTCACGTATGTATCGCGATATGGCTGCGGCATTCTCCCCTGATCCGTATTTATCCACTTTCAGTTTATAAGTACAATCCATTCGGTACGCGTCACAGATGGCCACGTCCACAATGTGAACCGTAGAATTTCTAACCGCAAGCAGGTCTGGCTTGATGAAGGAGGTGGCTGTCGGAATCCTCGGCTCCATAACAATGTTAATGCTTCGGCGCCGCAATTGCCTGGCAATCTGTTGGGCAATTTCATTGTGACGTTTACAGCGGACATCATGCGTGATGCAGCACGCCTGAAGAACATGTGACAGAGTCTCTTTTTGTCCGCAGCTCCCGCGGCAGTTGAGAGAAGCCGGGTCATTTGTAGATCTGCCTCTGCTCCGTCGCGTTTTGGTAGAAAGAAACCCCCCCCGTAGTTGGACACCCCGTATGAAAAGACGTGGAAAAATCCTGGTGGGGTCCCTCAGCCAGTGGTGAGCGGAAGGTGACGTGACCACATTTCGCAAGGGAGAGCCATCCACTGAAGCAAAAAAGCATCTCTCCAGGCTTCCGCAGCTGAGCTTTTATCCATGACGACGCGATTACCGATGGTAACAGTGGAGCGCGCTAGACGATGGATGGCAGCGGCTGCAGGGTCCCGGATCGCCCAACTGGTCACTGGATGGCAGTTGGCTAGGTGTCGTTCCAGCCTCTCCTTCCGTAGCAGGGGAATACTCGTTGACAGACACGGAATACCCAAACCAAAGCTCGCAATGGGAGCGTGAAGATATGCAATGGAGGTGTCTGACGGCAAGCGCAGCCATTTTCTGACGTGTGATCTGACAATGCGATCCAACCGCTTCAATGTATTCCGGTGAACCACTGCCAGAGCTAACTGATGAACATGCTTGGGGAGCAGATAGGTCCTCAGAATCTCAAGTCGTTGTTGTGGTTTAAGCGGTGCCTTGGTAACTTCGTTAAGTTGCACAGTAATATCGTCGATTACTGTTAGAGGGAGCTTACCCTTCCAGTTAAAAGGCAGGCCCAACATCTTGAACTTTTCATCGGGCTGAATGGAGGGAATAAAAATAGGACCACAGTCCAAAGCATTCGTATCCAGTATGGTTCGTTTGCGAGCGCCATCAACAATTATATTTACCGAGAAAGATTTTAGATGGTTGATGTTGAGGCCGACGCACTGCAGTCGTTGATGGAATCGCTGAAGGTGATCTCCCAGAGAAATGCGGTCTTGAGCAAAGATGATCACGTCGTCCGCGTAAGCGAGGTACTCAATCGGGCCAGCCGGTGATATCCAAGGCGAAGTGGCGACTCCGTGTAAAACTTCATCTAGGGACATTATGAAGAGCAAAGGCGAAAGCGGATC